TGAGTGTGAGGCCAAGCGAGAGTGTGTGGCTGGTGTGTAAGAGTGTGAGGCTACAGGAGAGTGTGTGGCTGGTGCAAGAGTGTGAGGCTGTTGTGAGAGCTTGCGGCTGGTGTGAGAGTGTGAGGCTGCTAGAGAGTGTGTATCTGTAAGAGTGTGAGGCTATTTTGAGAGTGTGAGGTTGGTGTGAGAGTGTGAGGCTGTTGTGAGAAGTGTGAGGCTGGTGTGATAGTGTGAGCTGTTTTTGAGGGTGTGAGGCTAGGTGTGAGAGTGTGAGGTTGCCAGGAGGAGGCTGGTGATAGTGTAAGGCTGTTGTGAGAGTGCGTGAGGATGGTGTGAGAGTGAGGCTGGTGTAAGAGTGTGAGTCTGTTGTGAGTGGGTGTGAGGCTGGTGTGAGGGTGTGAGGCCGTTGTGAGGGTGTGAGGCTGGTGAGTGTGTGAGGCTGTTGTGAGGTGCCAGTCTGGTGTGAGTGTGTGAGGCTGTTGTGAGGGTGTGAGGAAGGCATGAGTGTGAAGCTGGTGAAAGTGAGGCTGGTGAAAAGAGTGTGAGGCTATTGTGATAGTGTGAAGCTGGTGTGAGAGTGTAAGGTTATTGTGATAGTGTGAGGATGGTTTGAGAGTGGAGGTTTTTGTGGATAGCAAGTGTGAGGCTAGTGTGAGAGTGTGAAGCTGTTGTGTTAGTGTGAGGCTGGGGTGAGACTGTGACAAAATATAGTGTGAGGCTGGTGTGAGAGTGTGAGGCTCTGTGTGTGAGAGTGTGAGGTTGTTGTGAGAGGGTGAAGGTGGTGTGAGAGTGCGTGAGGTTGTTGTGAGGGTGTGAGGTTGGTGGAGAGTTTGAACCAGCGTGAGCGTGTGAAGTTGGTGTGATAGTGGGAGGCTGCTGTGAGAATGTGAGGCTGGTGTGTGAGTGTGAGGCTGTTGCCCGTGTGAGGCTGGTAAGGAGAGTGTGAGGCTGTTGCAGGGTGTGAGGCTGGTGTGAGAGTGTGACGCTGTAGTATATGAGCTGGTGTGTGAGGGTTTGCGGCTGCTGTGATAGTATGAGGCTGGCATGGGAGTGTGAGGCTGTTCTGGAGAGTGTGAGGCTGGTGAGAGTGTGAGGTTGGTGGACGGTGTGAGGCTGGTCTGAGAGTGAGGTCGTTATGAGGGTGTGAGGCTGGTGTGATATTATGAGGCTAGTGTCAGAGTGTGAGGCTGTTGAGAGAGTGTGAGATTGGTTTGAGAGTGTGAGGCTGTTTTTGTGGGTGTGAGGCTGGTGTGACAGTGTGAAGCTAGTGTGAGAGTGTGAGGCTGTTGAGAGAGTGGGGCTGAAAAGAGGTTATTTGAGAGTGAGGCTGGTGTGTGGAGGCTGGAGTGTGAGAGTGAGGTTGGGGTAAGAGTGTGAGGCTACAGGAGAGTGTGAGGCTGGTGTGGGAGAGTGTGAGGCTGTTGTGAGAGTGTGAGGTTGGTGTGAGGCTAATATGAGAGTGTGGGGCTGGTGTGAGAGTGTGAGGCTGGTGTAAGAGTGCGAGGCTGGTGTGAGAGTGTTAGGATGCTGTGAGATTGTGAAGGTGTGAGGCTGGTGAGAGAATGTGAGAGTGTGTGACTGGTGTGAGGGTGGTGAGGGGGGTATGAGGGTGTATGGCTGCTGTGACGTGTATGCATGTGTGAGGGTATGTGAGAAATATAAAAAAGTATTTTATCAACAAAATTTCTTCCTGAGATACTTTAATCAACTTCAGTTAACCTGTGCTCCGGGGGTAGCACTCACGGTGAGACCGACCCGAAAATATTCTTTGTCCCTGGACATGGCACGGCATAATTCAGCAATGAGAGAATAGACTTGTAATCTGAAAAGGTTGACACATCCAGCGTATCAGTACAGGAGTGAGGGTGAAGGATGTATGAGTACATGACGTGTGTGTGTGTGTGTGTGTGTGTGTGTGTGTGTGTGTGTGTGTGTGTAAAAGCCTGTTCTGTAGGATATAAATCCCTTGCCAGCCTAATCAGGATCTTATAAAGAGGAAAGTCAAGAACCATGGGTTTCCAAGGGGTAATAAACAACCGTTAGAGATTGACATCTCTTTACTAAGAAAATAATCACAAAAACTTAACTCTGACACCACTCACACAAAAATTAAATAAACAAAACAATCAGTAAAACAAAGAACAGGTATTTCCTACTGCTGCAGATGAATCTTCCCTCTAACCAGCCCTGTAGAATGTTCCGGTAAAGCTGTGATCCGTTCTCAGGGGGAAAGTCCAGGGCAGCTTCCTCACTTGGCGCCGGCGCTGGTAGGCGATGTCTTGCCACGCAAGAGAGACGCCAGGGTACAGACGGTAGATAGGGCGTGAAGGAAGTGGCGATCATGTGGCACTAGGTGACCTGAGTTGACAGCCGAATAGTGAAGGACTGAGGAATCAGCCCACGAGCCCCAGGAAACTCCAATGAGTACACAACCAGAGTTGCGATAGAACAGCTGGGTGAAGTATCAGCTGTGGTGAAGGCTGGATCATGTCTGACGATCTTCTCACCTCCGTCTCTTCCCCCCCCCCTAGTTGGGCAGCGAACAAGCAAACGAGCGGGAGATAATCATCTCGCTCGTTACAGCCCTTACAGTGTGTGTGTTTGTTTGTGATCTGCCAGACAATGGCAACTACCCAGAGATCTCGCTACTGTCCGTAGCTGGCAGGATTATTTCACAGGCCCTCCTAAAAGACTTCTTCCCATAGTCTCAATGTGGCGTTAGACCATCACGTGGCACCTCTGACATTATCTTTGCTGCCCGCCAGATACAGGAAAAGTGCAGGAAACAACGTCGTGACTTGCACATGGCATTCGACTCAGTCAACAGGGAAGCCCTCTGGCGCACCCTCAGCCATTTGGGATTCCTACCGAAATTCATTGCCACCGTGAGGCAACTTCACGATAGCCTGAACGGCAGTGCCCTGCACAATGGCACCCAGTCTGTGTTCTTCCCCATACAAACAGGGGTAAAACAAGGATGCGTACTGGAACAAACTCCCTTTTCCATTTTCTTGGATGCCTTCCTGACTCGTGTCAGTAACAATTTAGCAAGCGGGTGGCGGGTGGACATGGAGTAGGGGAGGAAGGATCGTTTCAGCATAAAACGACTCCAAGCAAGTACGAAGGTGTCGGCAGCTTCCATTATGCAGACGACCTCACCCTTGTCCCTCACACTGAGTACGACCTACAGGAGATTCTGAACACCTATGCAGATGCGTATGCACACTTCGGCCTTGAGGCTGGTTCAGCCACACCTCCACCATCCGTCCAGCTCAGCGGTACTACCCTCTCTAATGCTACCCACTTTCAGTATCTCGTCTCCCACGTGTCCACCACCGCGTACATCGATGAAGATATTCAACATCGAATTAGATGTGCATCTCAACCCTTTGGCAAACTCCGTACCCGCTTCTTAAGCTGTAGGGAGCTGACATTATCTACAAAGATGCACGTATATCGAGCAGTGTTCCTCCCCACCCTTCTATATGGCAGCGAGACAGGAGGCTCCTCAGGGCACTTGAAAACTTTCACCAACGTAATCTACGCTCCATCCTCCGAGTTCGCTGGGAAGACAAGAGAACAAATGCTAGTATTCTCACTGACACCAACTGCAGGACCATCGGGGCTACCATTATCCATGAACAACTACATTGGACCGGCTATATTGCTCGCATGGACGACAGTAGACTGCCAAAGCAGCTACTATACAGTCACCTAACGAATAGTAAGTGTAACACTGGAGGGCAACCAGAAAAGTTCCAAATCGACCCCCTCACCTGGGAGACGATTACTCCACACCGTAACTCTTCGAGGAGCAACACATAAGGTGTCAATACTTTCGAATTAGCCCGACGGCAAACTGAGGCAGACAAGCCCCAACGCCGGTAAGACGCTGCAGCCGCCCCTCCCGCACTACATATGGCCATCTACATGTGCAACATCTGTGAACGACTTTGCCGGTCCCGAATCGGCCTGTTTAGTCACTTTAAAACTCACCAACGAAGGTGACATCCGTAATAACTCATATCACTTTCTCATAGCTGGATGATCGGCATTCTCGATTCCGAGTGACAGCAAAGTCTTAGTGTGTGTGTGTGTGTGTGTATGTGTGTGTGTGTGTGTGTGTGTGTGTGTGTGTGTGTGTGTGTGTGTGTGTGTGTAGCAAAAGGGGTCGCCACGGGTCGGTACAAGTGATGCTGTGTCTCAAGGAAACTCCAACCACAAATAGTTATTTTTAGTTTATATCGCAACTTAACGTGTAGGTGTACCGTGTAGGTGTACCGTGTAGATGTACTGCGTATGTGTAGCGTGTAGGTGTACTGTGTAGGTGTACTGTGTAGATGTACTGCGTATGTGTAGCTCATAGGTGTACTTTGTAGGTGTAAGGTGCAGGTGTTCCGTAAAGATGTACTATGTAGTTGTGACGTGTAGGTATAAGGTGCAGGTGTACCATGCAGGTGTACTGTGTAGGTGTACTATGTAGGTGTAAGGGAGAACCTGGTCAATTTATAGTATTACATTTGCCTTTTTAAACTAACTTAAACGTTACTAAGTATTCTTGTATAAATATTTAGTTCATGTCAGAAATCTCTACATTAGACAAATATAAAATCCAAGACAAACAAAAGCTACAGAAACTCAATGAAAATTAACGGCAGTAAAGTGACCATTTTGGATTTTGACGGCCATATTGGATTTGAAGGAAAATTCAGGAAATTCTAAAGTGATAAACTGTGGTGTTTCCGAGGATGAGACATGGCTATGAGGCGCCAAAATGCTGCACTTGTCTCGATGTGTGGTGAGGGTGGCCGCTGCTGCACGATACCTCCGTCCGGCTCAATATAAAACACAAGTCACACACTCATACATTATCTCTCGTGTTATAATTCACTGATGATGTCTGAGCCACTCTTGTTATCATTGGGGAACAACTTCATCTACATTCAACAACAAGATAAGTATAAGTGAGGCCCAGGTGAACGAACACTGGAGGAGGAAAAGTTGTTTTTTATATTGAAGTTGTGAGGAAAGGTTCGTGTTCACCTCACTGTGTGTTGCTGTTAACCCTTAGAGTGGCAGTGCTTACTATCAGCTGAATAAAATCTTCTGGTGTCAACCAGAATATAATACTTAAGTACGACACTGCCCTTTAAATGGTTAACCCCTGCTCGAGGAAGATGGTCTTTGTGCTACGAACAAATCTTATACAAAAGTGTTGTAATAAAACAAGTGTTACAGCGTCAGTGATAATTTTCGTTTTGTTGGTGAGCGTTTACCAAGAGGATAATGTTAAGGAGAGTGACAAAGATGGTGACATATATAGTGAGGAGGCTAGTGAACAGAGGAGAGGACCACTTGTTTACCGTGGAGAAACAGGCCAGACAGGTGTGTCAGTAAATAGGTGTCGCTCCCTCTTCACCATCACTGGGGTGCCAGATGAAGAAACACTTTTCGCTGCTCACCTGTCAGCGGCTGTCAAAGGGGTGAGACACCTGGTGCAGAAGAGGTCGTCGTCGTCAGGAGCTTCCACCGAGGATTACCGCAGTCTGGCGGCGCTGCTTCCTACACTCTTAACCTTCCAACACCACACTAACAAGAGTCAAGAGGATGACCACAAGAAGGAAGGTCAAACACCCATCCTCCGCCTCAACAGTAGGATTGATGCCAACGGCGGAGTGTTGCCCTACGTGCCCTGTGCCATAGTGCCCTTTGACCACCCACCCTCCGTCACTGCCTGCTTCGCCCACAGACTCAAGAACAACAATTCCTTTTGGATCTCTTTTCTGGGCGACTCAAAAATCAGGGCTTTATTTTATGAGTTTCTTCAGAGAACCGACAGTGAATATCGGTACCTGATCCACCTTCTGGTGAGTCACTGATACTTCTGAATATTCTCTGACTGTTAATATACAACTCTCTCTTTCTCTTTCTCTCTCTGACATAGAAATATATTTATTAATAAAGATAAAAAAACTCATAGTTGTCATCCCCGGTGGACGCAGAACACAACCATGAGCTACGAGGAGATGAGGAGGACCACCTTTAAGCTACGCACCGACATGGAGGCCGGCACACCTGTACACCCGCGCCTCCGTGTCTCCTTTAGGTGTGACGGGAGTGTTTACTGATGTTGAGATGGTGCCTCATGTTTACTCAGTGATGTTAATATCATGCTGGGAATGTTTTAATGGTTAATTTTGCAATATGAATGATATATGTGATGTTACATTTCTATTTGAGATGTTCTAATGGTTACTGAGAAATGTTTCTTAAATATGATGTTTACGCTGTTTATAATCATTATTTACATAAGTTTTCTTATGTGTTGGGTTTGTCCTACTTAACATCTTTTGTGATTTTAAATTATGTATAAATTGTGTCACTATTATGTTTTTTACTCCCTGTTTTTTAGTGCATGACCCTCATGACTCACAGCTGTACTGTTAGCACTGCTTTTGCTGCTGTTCTCTACTGTCTACTGTTAGCTACTTCCTGCAGCTGGTCTAAGAATAAGTCATTGTTGATACTCTTAGCTGTACGAGTGGTAGCTGTTACCGTTACCTACTGTCACTCTATTCCCTGCCTGACTGTCGCCGACTTATTGAGATTATTTCACTGTTATTTCTCAACTTGATGCTGTTGTTATCTCTTCTGTAGTAAGCGCTGTTGTTGTTATCACCGTTGTTGGTGTTGGTGTCAAAGCCACAGCCGTCAGTAATTGGGTCACAGTTTCAGGATGTTCATGGAACCAACGCCGTCTAAGATTCAGGAGACTAAGGAACTGAGACAACTAAGTCGGTGGGCCAGGGGGGAGGACTCCCTCCCTCACATCCTTATAATAGGTAAGATAACATCCCCACAACACCTCCACTGCAAGCAGTTAGTGGGCGAACCTTCGTCTGGGGTAGAATTTAAGACCATGATATTATAAGGTAGACTCTTTTGTAAGACCTGCAGGTAGGGGGCGGGCGAGCGCTCGTCTGGCGTAGTTTCAGTTGCTGTCTGAATAAGCATGTGTGATAATATTGGCCCCGTATTGTTTTAAACATGAAAAATATTTACACACTAAGTAAAATCATGATAGATATTTATTGTCTTGTGTACTGTACAATAATGTACTGTACATATTTTGCGTGAGAATAAAAACTGAATTCACTCCCGTTTATTGATGTTAAACCAAACCTAATATAATCTAACGTAATTTACTGATCGCGCCCAAGCTTATCGAAAATAAAGTATATGAAAATCGACTTAATGCTCTTAATTTTTCTGTATATAGTATGTATATAATGAAAGGAGACTTTTTTCTGTCATATGTGTACAATTGTATAGCAACATGGTTTGTTTATCATTATACTTATCTTACCATTGTAACATCTCAGTGCCGGCAGATTGTGTCACACCCACCATAAGGTTGACCCTGCCTGAAGGTACTCTTATAGGGATGAAGTGTATAGGAAACTTGTTCCCGGGGCTGCACCCATAGATATAGAGAGCCTTCTGGCTGCCAAGTTCTTTCAATAAACCGTTAATTATTATTATTATTATTATTAGAGTCAGTGTAGTACATCTGTCCTCAGGCAACACCAGGTATAACACAGATTGATGGATATTTAGAGAAAGACAGATGAGAGACAGGGTGTATTATACTCGTCCACTTCCTCAGGCTACACCTCGTGGATGATGCAACTTATGATGATGAGGAGGAGTTACACCTCCGACGTGCTGGAGGTCATGAGAGAGATGCATCAACAAGTCGTCCCTCTCCTACACCAGGTCAGTAAGTCCTTGTGGTCGCTCCCTCACCTCCTCATCCTCTCCGTTATCTTGCTAATGTCTTTTCCTTCAATTCACTTTTACTCGAACTTGAATTAACCATTTCACTACGTCACCTTTTCATCCATTCATATTTCTCAATCTTTTCATTTTAATCATTTGTATGTCTCTCGTTTTAGACATGAAATTATATCAGGTTGAAACACAACTAGTTCTGTACTATACATCTCTACCTTTCTTCTGGTAATTATCAGTTAACCAGTCGGGTATTTATGAATTTCTTCTTAATAACTATAAACTTGTTTTTGTTTTACGGCAAATCATTCAGGATAAGGTGGTAAAACTACTGATGCCTCACACTGGATTAGTCACACACTGTCTTTTTGGGAGTTCAACTAAGGAATTGCTGGAAGGCCAACTCAGTGTATTGGTACCCCGCCACGGTAACCACAGACACAAAGTTCCGAGAAAATTATTTTGATTTCAGATCGCTGAGAGGACGCGGGTGCTGGTGGTGTCTCAGGGTCGCTATAGGGAGCACAGTCGTACTGGAACAATCTACAACAAGGCGTCAATCTTAGGGGATGCCACCTTCGACTGGAGCGAGATGCTGTTCCAGTATTATCTCCGTCAGTATAAAGACCACCATCTTTCTCCTGCCACGCCCCACGTCTCCTACACCTTTCCAACACCCATCACTGGGTCTTTAAAACAACACTCCCCCGACCCCCAGGGTCCCACGACCAAGACTGTGAGACCACAAACTACCAGGACCAGCAGAGACTATTTGGTCCCCAGAGAGACAGGTGGTGGAGTGTGGTGGTGGGACACTGGTGTGCCGCTCAACCTGGCGGGGATCAGTGAGTGTGAAGAACTGTACCGTCGAGGGCTGGTGGACAGCTCAGTGTACACCAGTGAACACCTCAGGTGTACAGACGTCCATCACGTAGGAGAGGACGTGCTGTCTGACCAAATCACCATGCTATTTAACCTTATATGTAACTCAATCATGCCATCACATACGAATGTTTGTTGTCACTGAAGAGGTATTCGATCTTGGTCATAGCCTCACGCTACACTGCCTGCCTCCGTTAATGACTCAAATTGACCCAGATAATGAGAAACAAATGTTATCACTATTCCAAAGCTATTAAACTTTGGAAGAAACGATCTTTTATCGGATCACCTGAAGAATCGTCACCCCAGAATGTCCACCTGAAGAATCGTCACCTTAGGATATCCCACCTGAATAATTGTCACCCCAGTCTGCGCCATCTGAAGAATCGTCACCCCAGCCCACAGTGAATACAATTTGTATAATTAGGATAACATAAATATATTCCTTTGTGTTATGCATCTTTATTGTGAAAAGTTTAAAGAAAAAAAAGAATAATATACACCGTGTTCCAAAATACAATAAATTCCACCCCCCCCCAAAAAAAAATCTAAGATTAAAAAAACATGACTCGCACTCTCAAAAAAAAGTATATATATATATATATATATATATATATATATATATATATATATATATATATATATATATATATATAAATATATATATATATATATATATATATATATATATATATATATATATGCTTCCAAATCTAAAAAAAAAATTCTTCATTTAAAAAAAAAAACAAGTTCGGGAAGGGTTCCATCCGTCATCTAGGAAAGTCACACAATCTTAAAACAACCTGACCGAACTTAGCAAATCAGAGATCTGACCCCACCTGAAGAATTGTCACCCAAGGTGTTGCCACCTGAAGAATCGTCACCCCAGGATATCCCACCTGAAGAATTGTCACCCTGCCAAACTCTGGGGTGACAATTCTCCAGGTGATCCCTTTTATCATTACAATCATCATCATCATTATTATTATTATTCAGTGGTTATCAGGTACCCTCTACTCACCTTTAAGCAACACTCGTCATAAAAATAATTGATTCAATAAAAATTATGACGCTTATGTACAATAATAATTAAGTGTTAACATTAGGATATAGGAGCGCTTTTTGTTAACATTATTATATGAGAACGTGATAGTCTGTCAGAGGTTAACATCAGATTTTTGGAACACTATTTACTGCCGAATGAAGTATTCAACATTACAATAAATCCGGAGAATTACAAACAGATTTTAGCTTGAAGAATAACAGAGAGCGTCCTTATTCGTGTGTGTGTGTGTGTGTTTGTGTAATAATAATAATAATAAACGGATTATTGAAAATGTTCTGCAGCCCGAAGGCTTAAAATATACATTGGACATAAATGTCTTATTTCATACATAGGTGGTTTAACAAAGGCCTTCATTAGAGAAAGATAAAGGAACATACAGTGAACATGCAGATTAATGTAGGTGTTGAACAGCAAACACGTATTGTAGTAACTCCCTCCCAGATGGTGTTAGGAGGGACCTCACGTGGTGTAGTAATTCCCTCACAGATGGTGTTCGAGGGGCATCACGTGATGTAGAAATTCCCTCACAGATGGTGTTATGAGGGGCCTCACGTGGTGTAGTAACTCCTTCACAGATGGTGTTATGAGGGGCATCACGTGGTGTAGTAATTCCCTCACAGATGGTGTTATGAGGGAACTCACGTGGTGTAGTAATTCCCTCACAGATTGCGTTAAATGAGTGAGGTGTGGTCCCAGGCCTTCCTATCATGGAAGGATTAACACAGCGCTAGTTGTTGTTGGATCTCACTGGGTACCTGGGACCTCACTGTGTGAAGGTTAACTTGGGTATGACTCAACAGTTACTGTTGAGTTGTTCTCACTGATTTAAGCATTGTTCACCACTGTTCATCTCTGTTCAACACTGGTTCCATTCCTTTCCTAAATGAAATTGTAACTTCTGGTGAGAACTTGTTGATATTCCGGTGGGGAGGAGGGGTTCAGGGGAGGGAGTTGCTATGAGCCAACTTAACAGTTGACCTGGCTGCTCCCAGAGGAGCGCCAGGTACGTCTTGACCCTTTGTAAAGGCCTGGGACTTAGGGATATGAATCCCTTGCCAGCCTAATCAGGATCTTATAAAAGGAAAGTCAAGAACCATGGTTTTCTGAGGGATAACAAACAACTGTTCGAGATTGACTTCTCTTTACTATGAAAATAACACAAAACTCTGACACCACTCACACAAATTTCTAATAACAATTATGGGAGTCAAACAATTAAAGGAGTCAAACAATTAAGAGAATCAAACAATTACGGGAGTCAAACAATTACGGGAGTCAAACAATTAATGGAGTCAACAATTAAGGGAGTCAAACAATTAACGGGAGTCAAACAATTAACAGGGTCAAACAGTTAATGGAGTCAACAATTAAGGGAGTCAAACAATTACG